CATACAATAGTTTTTTTTATTTTTTTAAGTCAATTGTTTTTAAAAATATCATTGAAAGATGTACTAGGGAAAGAATATCCTCTCAACTATCACTTTCCTTTAATGGCTCACCAAAAATGTTATTTTAAAATGTATTTTGTTATTAAAACACAATCTATTAAGTACCACACTGAAACAGAATCTGTTAAAACCATAACATGAGATACATATATATTAAAACAGCCTGTGCCTTCGGTTTAACCTTATCATAAATTTCCCACACTGTGTACCTTGTTCCAATACCTATGTCTTTGGGTCTTGAGCAATATTTTATATCCATATTCTCAAGGTGTTTGCTGTCAAAGGAATGCAGTTGTTGTTTTTTTCCATTTGTGTCCCATGTATATTTCAAGAAGAAAACTATTTTCCCAATTGTATTCTGCTTTTTGACTTTCCTTTTTTTAAAGAAAGTTCAGAAGAGGCTGTATAGCATTTATAATTGGTGAGTTTTCTTTAGAGTATCAGTTTGAATAGTAATTTACTTTAATATCCTGCAAATATTGTTGAGTTTTATCTTCATGCCTGGATGCCTAGTTTTTAAATGGCTACCTAATTGTGATCAGTTCAGCATATCGTTATCTATTAACTATACTACACACTTAGAGTGAAGTTGATGTTAGCAAAAGTAAGATGCAAATTCATACCTGAAACAATGTTTCAATTATTGTGGCCAACTTATTGTCAGATCTGATTAGTCATTAGTTTTCCACCTCCCAATATGGCTCCCAAAGGGTGTCAGAAATGTCAGCTTAGCCAATTGTGTTTGCCTATTATTGCATTATTAATATTATCTCCATTGGTCCATGCTGTAACAGTTAGTTTACTTAAATATCATCCATAAATCCGCTTAGATACAAAAGCTGCAACATGTGACAATATGTTGACAATCAACAAAGGAGAGAGTCCTCTGTCCCCCACCTTATGCTGTGCTCCCACCCACTCCCAAGAACACGGAGTGCTTGCCCACTTACAGATCAAGTAGCAGTGCCAGCCAGCGCCAAGCCTCATATTAAATATTAGTAAAATTTAGTTTCTTTCCCTCTTTTGATTACACACACACACACACACACACACACACACAAATATATGCTTGTAAATAGAAGTTCAAGGGGTCATCTTCTGCACCTCATTTTGGAGACCCTTGCTCTAGATAAGCAGTCTTAAATTTGTAACATTAGAAAGCTCTATTCTTAACAAAAATGAACATGAAACTCTAATTTTAAAAAAATAGATGGCAATAGGACTTTGATGTGGGAGCAGTAGGGGCTCAGACCCCTCTAGGCATTTTTCTCCCTTACCTCTTCAGGTGGATTTGAAGATTCCTCCATGGAAATTTAGTTTCTTTGAAACACAGTAGGAAAAATCTTATGACAGGCTTCCTTCCTCAGACCTGCCCTTACTAACACTTGCTTCCTCTTTAGGCATTAAGGAACCAACATGTTTTTTAAAGGTTGGAATATTAATATTCATGAGCTGGGGACCAATAATAGTTCAGAGTTACCTCCCATGTTCCTTACATTATTTGTGGCTACCTTTAATCTGAGGATACGGACATCTATCAAAATGAATATAAAATGGTGGCATTTCACCCAACAAAACAGGAAAACATGTTGTTTGGGCTGGAGGTACTTCCTGTGTGTTCCCCAGTGACCTTGAGTTTGGAGAACATATGATAATCCAATTTGTTAGACCCTGGTTAAAAAACATTTAATGCTATTAATGAGGGAAACTATAGATATATAAACCAAATAAAAATCTATAATAATAAAAGCATTATATGCAAATTGACCAAGCAGGGGAATGGCTGTCCAGATGACCACACTATGACACCCACTGGTGCCAGGCCAGCCAAGGCAGGTGCGATGCGATTGGTCAGGGGCTGGTCATTGCCCCATGATCGCCCTGCAGAGGGAGGCCCAGGCCACCGGCTGGTGGGCTAATCGATCAGTCGGGGGGCTCCATGATCGCCCCAAAGAGGGAGGCCCAGGCTACCCGGTGGCAACACTGCAGTGGGTAGCCTGGGCCTCCCTCTGCAGGGGCGATCCATCGCGGAGCCCCGGCAGGGCTGAAGAACCACCCCCTCCCCCAGTGCACGAATTTCATGCACCGGGCATCTAGTTGTAAATAAAAGGGAAATAACTATAAAAATGTTTTAAGATAATTATGAAAAAAATCATTAAGATATCAGGAAATGGATCATCTGTGATAGTATATTAACCAAGATAATTAGCACTAACTGCCATAATAATTGACCCCAGAATGTCTGGTTTAACTCAATAAATATATGTTTTCTCATTCATCTTACAGTACAATGCATCCTATGAGGAGGCTTTACTGTGACTGGTCATTTAGCGACTCAAGCTTCTTCCACACTGCAGACCAACAAATTCAAACATATGGTGTCAAGGTTGACCTAGTTTCATCCAGTTGGTAGATAGAAAGATAAAAGAGAGTGCAGAAGGCACACCTTCTCTTAACTGCTCAGCAGGGATTATGTTCCACTGGTGAGAACTAATCATATGATCCTACCTACATGCAAAAACTTTGGTAAATATGGTTTAGCTATGGGTCCTGGAAGAGAAAATGGGTTTTGGTTAGCATCTAGCCAGGCTTTGTCATACATTCAGAGGTTGGTCTAGGGATTCCCAATCTATAACTTGAACATCACCAGATCTGCCTTTGGAAATCTCTTGGGAAGTCTCTACCACTCTCTTTTTGACCTGCTGTAATAAAGGAATCTGCTTGACAGCACTCATTTCAGCTCTTGTTGCCAGAACAAGTCCGGATCTTCCATGTTTTCATACCTTTGCATGTGATTTGCATATCATGTCCAGTACTCCTTCCCTTCCAGCTTCCTCTTCCTCCAAATCTCCTCTTCATCTTTTAAGACCTAAGACAATGTTTACTTCTCTATGAACTTGCTCTAATGATACAGAAGACCCAGATCTCTACTTAATGTTCACTGGACTTTACTCTTGTAGTTCCACTTCTATTACTAGATTCATTAGCCTGTATTAGAATTATTTAAGAAACCAGTATGTTTTCAAAAGAATTGGGTGCATTAATATTCACAATATAGTGACCATTAGTAGTAGACTTAGTTTCTCAAGGGTAAAGACTGAGTCTTATGTATCTTAGTAGCTCCCATGCCTACTCAGCACAGGGCTGGCTCACACAATAACTGAGGGGAAATGCATCCTGTCTCCCTTCCTGCCACTTCCCAGTATCTCTCTCCCTCTTCTTGGTATTGTGGTAAAAACACAAGAAAATTTAGCATCCTCACCATTTTCAACTGTACATTACAGTAGTGTTAACTATATGCCTCTTGTTTACAACAGATCTCTTGAACTTTTTCATCTTGCAACTGAAACTATACTCATTGAACAAACAACTCCTCCCTTCCCCCTCTCTCCAGTTCGTAGTGACCACTGTTTCTAATAGTGTGACTACCTTAAACTATCTCATATAAGTGGGAAAATTCAGTATTTGGTTCTTTTGTGATTGGCTAATTTCACTTACTAAAATGCCCTAAAGATTCATTCATGTTGTAACATATGACAGAATTTCCTTGTTTTTGAGGCTAATATGTCATTGTATGTACATATCACATTTTTATTTATCCATGCATCCATTATGTGTCTTTGATTTTGACCTGTGGTCACTGGAAAGGGCTACGAGAAAAATATATTTTCTATTGACCCAAGAGAAAAGGTTTACTTGTACTTAAATATTATAGGATGGCTTAGGTTCTGGAGACTAAAAGATAAATTATACTAAGTGCAAAGGGAAATTAGATTTTTTTTTTAAATCAGTGACTACAGAAAGAATGCCTCCTACCATGCCCCATCTGAGCATAAGATACTATTACACTCTTTTCATGGGAGCAACAAGGGCCCATGTCCCAAGTCCTCTTACCCTAGTCTTCTCACTGCTCTACTCAGTACCTCCTACTTCATACCCTCAAAATAGCTCTGTTGAGAAAAGCAGCAGTAAAATTTTAAAGTAGGGCGACATAAATGAATAAAGGGATAAACAAGAACTCTTTCAACACAGAGCACTTGTAAGAATGTTCATGTTTATGGAGAAGCTGAGCCCCGAGGAACCTCTGCCCTTCTTGGTATTAGTGATTCCAGTATTCATTTGCACCGAGGTAGTGTGAGGCCCTTTAGAGACACTCATGCCCTTTGCTACAGTGCGTTTTCATGAAGGAATCTAAAGTATCCTTGCATTAGCATGAACATTATTTTTGCAGTTGGTCCAGGGACTATTATGAAATACGTAGCCATAATGTGTGCTGGGGGCGGGGGGGGGGGGGAATCTCCAAGAAAACTAACATTCAGCTTGTAAAAGCGTCGAACACCTCATGCATAACTTGTTTAAAAACACGGCACTAAGAACCCCAGCACTTAATATCCTGCAGTTTTTGGTAAAATACGCCAAACGTAGCTTGAAATTGTAAATAATCCCCCCAGAGCGATATTAGCCAATTGGTGTGTGAACAAAGAGCCCTTTCTGCACCAGCATGAATGCCGCCTTCCCCCACCGCACCCCCCCCAAGCGCGAATTTAGAAAAGAGCTGAAGTACGTGTTGACAAACGACAAAGCGGCAGACGTGGTGAAACACTCTGTGTCGAGGCCAAGGGGGAAACGTCGGGCCGCCGGAGAGGCCGCCGGGCGTGAATCCCTCGCTTCACTAACCTCCTTGGTTCCAGTCTTCAGGGAGCGGG